GGCGCCGAGCCGAAAATTTGTATCTTTAATGAGTGGTTATTTGCACAAACCTTCCACATTGGCGTTCAATGGAAAAATGCCCACAGCCTCACTATACCTGAGTTTTACATAAAAAACCACCTTTCTGACTCATAAGTCCAGTTTAGATACCACAATACCTTTAGGATTAGTGAAACACAACGTATCTGGGATTCAGACTATTGGGTTGAATGTCCTAGAAGGGAGCTAACAAACTCAGTCTGCCAAAGGACAGGCGTAAGTCCATGGCCAGGATTATGAAGTTGTTGTTTATACAGCAAAACAACATTCATGGCTTCTTGAACTGCACTTGCTGTAAACATGAGTGGCCTCTGTGGCCTTACCATGGAACAGTGGGTCTCAAACTGACCTGTGCATTGGAATCACTGGGGAGCTTTTAAAATATGGATGTCCGGATCACACCCCCAGAGATTCTAATGATAGGTCTGGGGTGCAACTTGAAATGCAGGATTGCAAAAGCTCCCGGGTGATTCTTAGCTAGATTAGAGCAGTGCTTCTCAAACTTTAATGGGTACTTGGTGATCTAGTTAAAATGCAGAATATGAGTCAGCAAGCCTGGAGTGGGAGCTGAGATTCCTCATTTCTAACAAGCTCCAGGTGAAGCTCCTGCTGTTACTTTGCAACCTCCCCTTTCTCCAGCAAGGCTCTAGAGTAGCCTCAGTCAGAAAAAAGATTCCAGCAAATTCCACAGAGGCAGTCTCTTGGTTCTTTAATGGGGCATGCAGTTCCTAGTTCTAGAGTTGAGCAGCCTTATCAGATTATCAGAGCTGCTTTATGGGCCTAGCAACCATTCAGGGATTTTGGAAAATATTGAGACCTGAAAAAAAAGGGTTATGGAACCAAATTAAAACTATAAAATAAAAATAAAAATGATTAGTTACATTTCCATAGAAAATAACATGACAAATTTCATTAACTGTCTGATTTTTTAAATGTTACTTTTTATATTAAAAATATAGGTTACTCGGCATCATTTCAAAAAAATTACTAAATATAATACCTATACATGCTGAGAAATCACAGCCAATCAAAATTAAATGATTTACTCACAGGCCAATAATGTGAGAAGCAAACGTGAAGAAAGGCTCTTATTTTTTTCTTTAGCACAATTCTATCTAACGTGGCATGTGGGTCTATGCAACGTTTGGTATAAAGAGGAGCAAGGCCTTCAAAGTAAGGCTGCTCAGGGCTGGAAAGACTTAAAATGACTATTTCACATGCTTTTCATTTATGTTTATAATATTCAGTAAAAGTCACCTAGGCAGCTCCCAGAGCTTTCTGAGACGCGGCTTCCTCACACACAGGCCCTCCAGCCAGCTAACGGCATTTCTACATTCTCTCTCCTTCATTGTAGCCGTTGCCTGTGGAGTTGAGGGACATTTCCTTACTTGTTCCAATTTAACCCAAACCATGTGGCTTCTCTGTTTTTATTCTTTTACTCATGACTCGGTGTCTGAATATTGGGATATTTCAACTCTCAATAGCCAAGAAGGATTTCAACTCTCTCAATAGCCAAGAAGGATTTCAACTCTCAATAGCCAAGAAGATTTGCAATCTGCTGCCACAAATGGCCAAATCACTGGTTTCTGCCACAGAAATGCAGGCACAGAATCATTTTTGATAATCAGAATCCATGGCCACAGCGAGATAATTTTTTTTTTTGAGACAGAGCCTCAAGCTGTTGCCTTGGGTAGAGTGCTGTGGCGTCACAGCTCACAGCAACCTCCAACTCCACAGCAACCTTGGGAGGCTTAAGTGAGTCTCTTGCCTCAGCCTCCCAAGTAGCTGGGACTACAGGCACCTGCCACAACTCCCGGCTATTTTTTGGTTGTACTTGTCATTGTTGTTTGGGAGGCCCGGGCTGGATTCGAACCTGCAAGCTCTGGTGTATGTAGCTGGCACCTTAGCCACTTGAGCTATAAGTGCTGAGCCAGCAAGATAAAATTTATATATAAAAGAATAACCAGTGCACAGGAAACTGGAGTTATTGCTTCATGGCTTCCCAGTTGCCACTTCATTCTTGCATTAAGGAATTATTTTCTTTTTTTTTTTTTTTCCATTCTTGTGATGCTTTACTAAGAAGGATGTATTAGGCAATTTTAAAAACATACAGTACAGTTGAAAGAATTATACAGTCATCACCCATACATCCGCCACATACATTTTATCGTTTTTTTCTTCTTTACATGTAGGGAATTTGTTGATAGAGAGGCCACAAGTTCTGTGCCCCTCATCACAATGATCCCAGTTTCCTGTTGGGCATGTTATAAACAGAGGATAAGGAATTATTTTCAAGCAACCCTATTTCTCCCTCTCTCTCCTGGCTCAGAAACTTTATCACTGGTAATTTGTTCTCTGAAAAATTATTCCAACCTGATAATCTGCTCAGGCACAAGGCCATCTCCAAAAAATCATACATAGACTAAGAGAAAGACCGTTGTAGGTAAACTGGATATTGATAATGTTGATGTTTCTATATTGGAAAAACTAAGGAAATCTCAACCTGGGTGGGTTAATTGGGGTTGGCAAAAATCATCACAAAGACGTTGGGGGCACACGAATATTCTGGAAAATCACCCAGGGAATTTATCTAAACTTCAGCCTGCACAAGAATCACCTGAAGGATGTGTAAGACTTTAGGGCCTCACCACCACCTAAGCTTTGGGGGTTAGTGATGAACTCCACCAGGAGATTCTGATGCATGTGCTCATCCTTTCTCACTTTGAGGAATGGCCTTACAGATGGAAGAGAGGGCAGAGAAAGGCTGGAACTTAGACAGCAAAGATACCTGGGGAACTTGGTTGTGTTTACCATTCTATCACAAAGGGCACAGCCTAATGATGCTTTGTCATACTTACTCACCACATTAGATAACCCTAAACATGCAGCTTATACAACTGTTCATGTATTTTTAAGTCCATTTTCTTTTCAATCTGCTTTTTCTTCCCAGGTGCTCCCTTTCAGTCCCATGGGTTCAAATCCTATCCATATGCTGATGACGCTGAAGGTGTCCAGACTTCCTCCCCAAGCTCCATACAAGCAAGTCCACCTTTCTCTTCTGCATCTCCACTTGGAGATTTAATAGCATATTGAATTTAGGTTCAACATAAGTGACCATAAGGGCACTTTTCTCACCCCCAATGCTTCTCTCTCCATATTTTCCAACTAAGTGAATGGCACCGTGATTCATCCTTGTTCACAGGCCCCAAATCTAAGAACCATCTTCAATTACTTTTTTTCTCTTCTACCCAGATCCAGTTACCTGCAAGTCTTGTCAACTTTATCTTCAAAATCCATCTTCCCACTACCTTCATTGCTATCCGCCTGCTTAAGCATCACCTTCTCTTACCGGATAGCTGCAGTAAGCTCCTAACTGGTTCTCTCTCATTTCTTTCTTTCATCTCTTTTACCCATCAGTATCTGGGACCTGTGTTACTGCTTCTTTTCCTCCTCACATTTCAGCTGCACTAACAGTCTTTCAGGTCCTTGAATGAGTTATATTTGGGCCACTGACCACGGGCCCTTTGCATGTGCTATTCCTACCAATAGGAATATTCTTCCTTTGATGCTTTAGCTTTTCAGCTAAAGTTTTAGTCTTTAATGAAAGACCCTTCCTACTCCAGTCCTGAACAAAGTTCCTTTTATAAACACTCACCTACACCTATGCTCTTTATCTTTATAGTTCTTATTTTATACATGAGGCATTGGAAAATATTTGCCAAATAGGTCAGTGAATGAATGGATGATCTCCTCATGCACAATTTAACAATTCCCTTATTTGCTGTAGAGATCTCATTTGAAAGCTAAATGGGTTAATGTATGGTATGTTTGAGGCAGAAATGCACACCAGATAAACACAATAAGGACTTGAAATTTAAACTGAAGGCCCAGGGAGTCTTTACTTTCTTAAGTAAGCAAGTGTGTTAAAAGATTTATCTCCTTGAAAATATGTATATAAAGCTGTGACTTTATTTTTGTGCTTTATTTCACAATGTGTATGGGAAGGGGGTGGAAAGAACTTGTCTCAAGTGTCCTATATTTTTGGTACTTACTTTTCATCTTCCGTATGTTTCTTCTTTCTTAGATTGAGCAGTTGTCCTCATTAGACACATCTACTAGGAACTTATAGTGGGCATAAGGTAGCTTTGCAGCAAGCAAGAACATTCCTTGCCCTTGCAGAACTTAAGAGTGGACACGATACATGAGTGTTACATGATACTAGGCACGCAGGTGGAAATAAAGAACGAACCATGCAAATCACCAGGTGTCTGGTCACAGATTTTGGCAGGACTTCACCAAAAGCAGGAAAGCTACAAGATGTGGGACAACACAGCTTATGGATGAAAGTTAAAGGCATTTAATTTACTTGCAAACATAAGAGGAAAGGACCAATACATAAAAGAACAATCATTTTGAGGGATGAGCAATTCAGTTGCCTTCAAGAATAGGGCAATGATAACTTCTCAGCCAGCTGCTATCAATTTCACATGTATTAAGCACCCAAGTGGACTAATAAAAAGTGGGGGGTTGGGTTAAAAGGCCCTGACCAAATGTTTACCTAAGAAAGTTAATACTATGGATGAAAAGGTGGTTGATGACTTCTAATTCCTGTAACTTGCTACTACACAGCTTAGCACAGAGGGAACTTTTTCTTTCCAGTGCATATTCTTTAACATATTTAAAATATTGTTCATATTTTTCAGAAATCAATGTTTCTACCTAGGTAATGCATGTTACAGATAAAATACAGATAGTTGAGAGCTTACTTCTGGACTACATACTGCATTTATAGACCAAGACACATCTCATGTTTTCATAATTAGAATGGGACGTGGCTAGGGACTATTAAATGAGGAGAGGTGAGGAGAGGGCAGGGGAGGAGAGTAAGAGCATCCAGCAGGCAGCCTGCTCCAATCAGGCAGATGTCTCACCAGACTCTGGGGTCCTGTCCATGAATGAGGCTGGACTCACAGCCACCCCCAGTGGAGAGGCAGTGTCCATGACCATAAACGTGTTTACAGATGGAATAAAGATGAAGCAGACGGAGATGGTATTATATTTAATATCAGAAAGTCACATCGTTGTCATGGTTTTAAGCAAGCTCAAGCAGACATTATGTACGTAAGGAACAAAATGTCAAAGTTACATTCAGTTTGAATTTCTGCCACTGAAAATTCTGATTCAATCTACAATATCTCCTGCACGTGGGGCAGGCAGAATGACGAAATGTTGATGGTACACAATGATGATGATGTCCACAGGCTGGACGGCCTCCCATCTGGCTCCCTGGATCACCTCATAGCCCTCTCCAGATACCCAGAATGTGTACTTTTTGGTAACAAGGCCAGATACATGAGCAAAAGCTCCCACTTAAATCTGGAGCATGCAGACATCCAAGTGAATAGATACTTGATTCTACTCACAGATATCAAAGTAAATATGCTAAGTTCTAAAGACAGCTATTTCAGCAGTTTCAATTAGTCTTCAAAATGGAAAAGCTACTTCTGTACTTATGTAAAATATGCCATATTATACTATTTGTTACTTCACAAAGTTTTTAACACATCACTTTCACACCTCCAAGTCTATAAATGTAGACTGCAGCAGAAGCCAGATTGAGCATATCTAATGAAACTCAGACCCTGCATTCCTGCAGCTCTCACCACTATCACATCTGGGCTTCTGGGAAAGACACCGGGTGACCTTGGTCTATGCATAGGTGCCTAGAGAATCCAGCCTTCACCTTGAGCCGGAAGGTGTTGGCCTTTGGAGAAATGAAAAGCAGGCCGGGGTGGTCTTGGAAAGGGAAAATGCTAATGAAATCGTGTAAATAAGTTTGGAAGTGAAGAGAAGGCCAGTTTCCTGAAGAACTTCTTCATTCTGTGTCCTAAGACCTTGGGGACAGGAGCAGAGAGAGCAGATACCTCCTTGATAGCGCAGATTCTGGAATGGCCCTGCCATTCTGACTGCCCTTAATGTTCTCTCCTGGCTCCTAGTCCTAACAGTCACTTTATCTCAATAACATTCCTAAATGTCTATATCTAGTTCTGAACTTTCCTCAGAGCATGATTTTCAGGTCTCTACTGGCTGCCCCACTTGGATGAGTCAAAGATACTTCAATTTTCATGTGTCCAGCCTAACAGCCACATCCTATTCTCTGCACTCAGCACAGGAGTGGATACTTGATGTATTTTACTGAGTTAAAAGGCATTAAGGAAGACCACAAAGGACTCAAATGTCTAGCAACCAGGAACTGGTTAAATAAACTGGTGTACCCATTCAATGAATATTACTCAGTTGTTAAAGTAAAAAGCATAAAAGAAAGAGGGACTTTCTATTAATTTTGAAAGACTTTCAGGATTTCTAAGCGTCAGGACAATGCACAAAACAGTGACTACTAGGCTCTGGATAAAGGAACAATGGAAGAAGATGGGAGAGACAAAAGTGGTTACTGCAGTCTGGGTGTAGAGGGCAGACAGGAATGGAACTTCTCAATGCATTACCTGTGATATTGTTTGATTTTTGAATGATGTTAATGTATTCTAAACAAATCATAATTCCAAACAAATAGAGTCTGTTTTAAAAAGACAGAAATTAATTCAAAGGCCAATAAGATTTTCAAATTTGAGACCAAATTAAAAAGATTATTTTGTACTCTTCTCTTCTTCTATACATTGAGCTGGAATTATCATCAATATAAATGTCTTACTTGTTTGCAACCAAGCGCATAACAGTCCAGTCCTTTGGAAACATCTCTGGGCGTATCAATATTCGGAACACAGTAAATATCTGTAGCAGGAAATCCTTGGATAAGGAGGAAACAGATCATTTTATTGATTTATTATAACTGTCACTACACACACACAAACAGAGTACTGTTGTAACCATTTCCAAAGCAGTTACAGAGAAGGGAGCCATACTTTAATAAATTTACCCAAGGAAAGGAATCATATACTTCCCATTCTCAGCCCAAACCTGCTGGATTGCTACACTTCCCAAATGTTTTCTCTTCTTTTTCTTTGTCAGGTACAGTGGAAATGACTTTTCATTTCTCTTTATGAGTTCTAAACATTTAAGTTCTGAACATAAAATGGAAAACGTGTAACAGGAGATTAGCAGGCAAACATATTTCCTAAACATCAGAACTTTTTAACTAGAGAGGACGAACCGCCCTAGTTCTATTCTACTTTCCTTTAAGTGAGTGTCAGAATGTAGAGAGTTACATTCATCAAAAAACATCTCTTACAGACCTGTGTTTCTTAGAGGACGTTCTTGAGATGCATCATTAATGGGATATGTGCAGGTTTATACAC